GGACGTGCCACATCTGTCCCCCAAACCTGCCATCTAGACCCAGGTTGTGGGGGCCCCTTCTTGGAACATGGAGCGCTGTGGAAGTCACAGCTGGAACCAGCCAGCCCCCGGGGGCCGGCCTGTGCGGCCCACCCCTGCAGCTGCACGTATCCGCAGGGGGGACAGATGTGGAAAAAATATGTGTTATTACCTGCACACTAATACCAGGAACAATTCTCAAGTCTGAGAAATGAAGTCTGAGAAAACAAATATTAGAGTCACACATCACTATCTCATCTGAACGATACGTTCGTAATTGGTGTGATCACCTGAAGCAGGCCTGATGCGGTTCCCGAATTCTTTTGCTTCCAACTCCTGAAAAGTGATAAAACTTTCAACGAACTGTACCCTGTCAGGGCCCAAACTTAGAAGCACACACCGGGTCTGCAGGGGGCTCCTGGATGCGCATTGCCAGGCACCGAGCATTGCCAACGTCCGATACCACCCTGAGCCCCGATAGATGCTGCATCACAGAAACAGCCCCTGCTTCCGAACTTAGGGAAGAGGAGAGAGCGGGGTGCCTGCCAGCCGTGCCGGAGGAAAGGGACGGTCTGGGAAGTGTTTGGAATGGCCTGGCCCCAGCTACTTGGACTCTCAAGAAGCAGGCCGCATCGGATTCAAACAGCATCAGATTCTTTAAAGGCTGTTTTGTTCCTAAATAACAAAGGCAGACGTTCAGTGTTTTCCAAAAATGTCTTTAATTGGTTTTCCGCAGATGTTGGGCCCACTGGCAAGGACGCGACGTGCCATCCACAGGGCCTGGTCCGTTATTAGGCTGGAGAGCCCAGTGTAAGTCCCTACAGACTCCTGGGAGTAACACGAATATGGGGCAACAAAGTGGGGCAGCAGGCCTGCTGGTGCTGGTCTCACCGGCCTGTCTACCAGCCTCTGAGCAAAGCAGGAACCAACTCAGACAAAACAAGACCAGCTCCTAGGACTGGCTTCCCCAAGGCCTTCCAGGGCCGAAAGCCCAAGAAGGAGACGGTCCAGGAGGGGAGGCCTCAGTCCACAGGGGTCAGTGGGAGCAGGGAAGACCCCAAGGAAGGAGACGGGCTGGGTCTGCGCAGGGTGAGGTGTGCAGGCCACCCCATGTGCACACCGGGGGCTGCTCTCGAAGCAGCAGGGGGGTGTGTGGGGGCAAGGGGGCAGCTAGACGCTATGGTGGAGGCCACAGCCAGGGTGTCACCTCCCTAGCCAGGGCACCCGCATTGCAGAGGCAAGTCACTGGGGGTGACGAGGTCCCCTTCTTCCTTCCTTTCTGTCCCCCTGCTGGGGCCACCCCAACGAGGGGCGACTTGAGGGAGAAGCTTTCATCTCCATAGGGATGCCTGTCCCCACGCTGTCCTAAAGAAGGGGGGTCTCAGGAAGACAGGTGTCCTTGGAGGCCAGTGCTGCAGCACCTTGAAGCTGATCCTCCGCCACCACCACTGTGTCCCCCCACACCTGAGAGACAGAGATGGACAGAGACTGGGGAGGGTGGACTCATGTGAGCTCAAGCACAGGTCACACACCTCCCCTCTGGCCTGTGTTGTGAATAGTTTGTAGCTCCAGTGAAACGAGGTGGTGGGTCAAGAACTAGGGCCTGGAATTTTTCTCGTACCACCAGGCTGCGACTGGCTGCGAGGGCCAGACTCCCAGGCGCTGTGAGGTAGAGAAATGCATCTGTGCGGCAGGTCAGGCGGGGCTGGCTAAGACTTTTGTCCAGAACCCTTTCCGGAAACAAAGCCTGATTACCAGGGTGGCATCCGGCGTCTGGAACCCCCCTGCCTTAAAGGATTTAAGTAGAAGGTGACTCTGCTGGGCTGGCCTCCTGTGAGCTTAGGAGAATCTGAGACAGCTGGGGTCTTGTGTGGGAAGCTGGACTGAAGACAAGCGAAGGAGAGGGAAATGCCAGGCAGGGAGAGTAACCCTGTGAGAGGAAACAGATAAGGAGGGAATCTAACTCCGCCTGAGCCCTGCAGAGGACGGTTAGTGGTGGCAACAATGGGGAGTCTGGGACACTCCCCCGGGTCCTGAGGAGTGTGGGGGGAAGACCATCTGCCCCCAGGAGGGAAGCGGGTGGGTGGCCAGGATGCCTGGGAGTCAGGAAGGCCCCCCAGGTCCCCTTCCTTTCCAACATAGGTGTGTGATAACCCCTGGAACCAGGAAGAAGCCATTGTGCTAGTAGCTACCTGCTGTGAAGGTCACTTCCCTTCCCAGAGAGGAAGATAGGCTAGTCTGGAACAATCCAGATCAGGGAGGAACTCCCAGCTTGCAGTCCGAGCTCTAGCAGAAGCCTCCACATATCGGGAAGTACATTTGCAGCCCAGAGCTGGCTCCAGGTCTGGCTCAAGCCCACCCACCTGGGGGGCAGGGCTGAGCTCCCCCACTCCCTCCCTGGGCTCACTCACTGGTGTGCCCCAGAACCCTGGGAATGGACCAAGAGGGCAGAACTGCTTTCTCCGTCAGCAGGAAATCAGCAAGAAAGCACAGTGTTACCAACTCCACCAAAGCCAGAGCCCCGGCCGGTGGTCATGTGTGGCTCCCACTGAGCCACTGAAGACAGGCTGGTTGCTTCCAGAGTCCCCCATGGTGGTGAGGGGGACCCCTATTCCTAGCCTGGCAGCTCCCAGCATTCCACATGCCCAAGGGCCAAATCCAGACAACAAGGCAACGGTCTTCACTACAGTCTACACAAGAACAGGTTAAAATGAAAGGTCTGCAACCCAGCTGACCTTGAGGGAAGACACCATAGTAGCCGGGCTAACCTGGGAAACTGGTAAATGAAGGGAAAGATGCAGGGACTCCTCCAGCCAGGGGCTGGTAAGGAGGACAGAATCCGGGGTGGTTATGGATGGCTTTGCTATGAGAGAAGTTGACAAGTCCGCGCTGGGCTGGCCGCAGGGATGACAGGCCTGTAGGAGGCAAGGGCAGCTGTGACGTCCTGGACGGGAACGCACCCAGAGAGCACTGGATTTGCGTTAAAATCACGGGATTGTGAGCATGCTTTCCTTTTCTTGCCTTTGGAGCAGACATTTGTAAATAAAGTTATCATTAAAACATAAAAGCCATTAAAACCAGAGAGGGGATTAAAGCTCTGGGAAGGACACTGTGGTTAATGCACAGTATGTCCAGGCAACAAGGAAAAGCCAGGTCAGGGCCTTGCTGTCCTGGGTGAGTGCGGCCTGGGTGGGCACGAGCTGGTTGGGGTGGGTGGTAGCCTCACTGCCCCTAACTCTTGGCACTCAAGCCCTATCCCATGGTCTCTGTACAGGGTCTGGGGAGCACCCCACACCTGCCACACAATCCTGCAGCTGCCTGGTGGCCAGGCACACGGCCCTGCTGCTAGGCCCTCAGCAATCCTCTGCGGGGAATGACTCATGGGGCCACCAGGATTCATCATTAAAGAAACCGGAAAACAGGCCAGAGAAGATCAGCAACCCTGTTCCTTATAGCCACATTGAAACCGTGCTGCTGTGAACTCAGAGGGCAGTGGCCCTGGGGAAAACAACCTTCCAGAGCGGCCCCATGGCAACAACTTGCCCAAGGAGAACACCTTGCGGCCGGCCATCCTGTTAAAGCTTGCTTCAGAAAGGGCCGAAAAGGGGTTGTCATGCCCATTGATGAGAAATACAAGTGAAAATAAAAGCCTATATGGGCCACATAGAACCATCCATTTAATGCATGCAAGGTTTATTTCATCCCAGAATTCTCTAAAAGAAAAATTCCGGTAGAACCAAAAACAGCTGTGAAATCACCCTGACCTCATGGTACAAAGTCCATCCAATTTCCACACTCCCACTTTCCAAAGGCATTTGCCCGGGGACAGATACACAAGCAGGGTCCTACGGGTCCCCTCCTGCAAGAGGGCAGGCTCCTGAGCAGATGCTGAGTCCACACTTGGGCTGTTCCCTGCAGTTGGCTGCCCGACACCCCACATTCCCCAAGGACATTATTAATAGAAATGTGTCCTGAGCCAGCACAGCCAGGCTCCTGGAGTCACCAGCTGCTTCGAAAGAGCACCTTGCTGAAAGGCGCCCCATGCGGGTCACCCTGGCTGGGCCCCTGACCCCAGCCCTCCTGCCCACCCCTCCCACATATGTTCTGGTCCTATTCCTGTAGTGGTATTTTGGGACCTGCTGTAGCAAGCAGTTCCAGACTCCACATCTCTCAGTTCCTCTTTCAAGCACACACTCCATCCCCCTTGAGGAGGATCCAGGGGCTGTGGGCAGCCCACACCTCACTTCCAATCCATCTGTGGGGGGAGGGGTAGGAAGCTGTTTGGGCTTTTAAATGTTGTATTTCTTTTACATCTTAAAAAGGGTAGAGGTGTTGTATAGTGTCTATCTCCTTTAAAGTGGCTCCTTCGGGGCGTCTGGGTGGCACGGCTGGTTGAGCACCCGACTCTTGGTTTCAGCTAGGGTGGTGATTTCAGGGTCATGAGATGGAGCCCGGGGTAGGGCTCCGGGCTCAGCTGCGAGTCTGCTTGAGATTCTCTCTCCCTCTCTCATAAATAAATCTTTAAATAAATAAATAAAGTGGCTGCCTCCAGAGGCCTGCTGGGGGAAGATAACTGAGGATCTCAAGAGGACCCACTTACACATCTGCTAACAACTGTGGGAGCCCTTGGAGTCACCAGGAGGAATGGGGCTCAAAAGATGTGGCACAAGCTTGAGGGTGGGATAGGGGACCCCTGTGACCCTGTGCTTCCTCCATTCCCGAACGGTGTTCAAGGATTCTGGATGTGAGACCTGACCGCAGCAGGGTCCCCCCCAACATGAATGGCTCACTGCGCAGTGGGGGAAGGGAAGTCTGCCGGGAGCAACCCCGAGGTTCAGCAGCAATGCGCACCCAGCAGTGTGCACGGACCAGGTGTTCGCAGTGCAGCGCTGCGGGGACAGCGCTCCGGGTGCCCTGGCGGCCCCAACGCTCCGCACCACGGTCCCACACAGCCCCGAAACCCAAGGCGCCCGCGCGCTCACCGTCTCGGGGTCGTTCTCGAACACCTCCCGGGCCTCCTCCTGGCTGCACAGCTCCTCAATGCACTCCCGCTCCAGGTGGCCCTGTTTGGCCTCCTCGAAGACCTGGTAGGCGCGTCGCTGCCGGGGCCGCAGGAACTGCGCCGCCTCGCGCGCCCGCAGCATCACGGCTGCCCGAACGCGGGCGGGAGGACGGCGCCGGGAGAGAGCGGGGACAGAACGGGGACACGCCGTCAACCCCGCCCCGCGCGCGCCGTCCTCCCGGCCGCCTGCCGGGGGATGCTGCGGCAGCGCGCGGGCCCGAGGCTGCGGGGCCCGGGGGGCGCGCGGAGCCGGCACCCGCGCTCCCCTGGCACCTGGGGGCGGCGGGGTCCTTTGGGGCGGGAAGGGGGACTCCCGGCACGGCCCGCGCCGCGACCCCGCTTGGTACTCACTGTGCGCGGACTCGGAGGCCAGCAAGAGCAGCAGGAGCGCGGTGCCCAGGGCGGCGGCGGGCCCGGGCGGCGGCGGCATGGCGGGGCCGGGCCGGGGCGAGCGCGGGGCGAGGGCCGGGGGTGACGAGGACCGGGCCGGGAGCGCGCGCGCTCAGAGCACCCGGGAGGCCGTGGCGAGCCGCGGGCGCCGCGGGGCGGTGGCTCCGGTCATCCCGTGCAGGCGGCTCTGAAGGTCACATCCCGGCGGCGGCGGCGGCACCTCTGCGCTCGCGGCCGGGGCCGGGGCGGGGCGCGCGGGCAGGACCGGCCTCGGGGCCGCGCGGGGGCGGGGCGCGCCGGCTCCCACCCGCGCCCGGCGCGGGAGCAGGTTTTCGCCACGAAGACCAGAGATCCCGGGGGAACGGGTCCCGCGGACGTGGCTGCTTCGGGCGGTATCTAATCGGGGCTGGGGTAAACGGGAAGAAGTAACAGCCAGGTACAAGGTGACCGACCAGGTGCCAGACTGAAACCCCGACCTCGCCCCACCATCGCCACCCCCAACCCAAATCTACCGCATCGTTTTTGGATTCTTCATTCTTGAGCACATTTTCTCAAGACTTAAAACCATCAAAGAAAAGCTAAACTGAGGTCACACCGAATCCCAGCGAGGTCCAGGGAGTGAGATGAAATTATTTCCTTTTGTAATCTGTTTCCCATAATGATGACATTGAAAACCTTGAGGTTTCCCAGTAGATACTTAAGCTGAAAGCAACATTGTGCTAGTTCTCAGAGACCAAGACTTTCTGTCTCTCGTCCGGGATATTTCGCAAAGTCACGGGCAAAACACACACAAACAACCACGACCAAAACATAGCAGCCCACTCACGGGGGGCCGAAGACCGCAGGGAGCCCAGCGGCGCGGGAGAAGGGGCTTGGACACCGCCCTCCGCAGGGCCCCGCTGGGACCTGCCCCCGCACCCCAAATGCGTGGTCATCTTATTTGTGGGTTCAACGTTGAGAGTCCAGACCTCAGTTTCTCCTCACCTTCTGTAGTGTGGGAATGAAATGTCATTGCTGTGGATTCTTTGAGGTCAAGGTTTGAAGGTGGGGTTAATAAGCATTAATATGTTAAATTCGGGGAGTTGAACTTTGATGAAAGCACTCTTCAAAGAGCATTAACACTTTAATAGGTAGGTCGTCTGCACCGGTGATCCGGAGCTACAAAGCTCTCTCTCCCTCCTCGGCGGCAAGTGATGAAAGCACCCCGCAAGGCCATGGGCTTGGAAAGAACAGTACATTAAATTTCCGGCATGTTGTTCTTAAGGAGAAGTGCTGGTTTCAAAAATCTGGGTGGGGTGATACATTCTCGAGTGTGTATTTACACAGATCTTTAATTAATTAATTGCACATCTGTTATTTCCTAGGGTTCCAGACCCCTGGCCCATGGACAGGTTTCAGGAAGTGTGTGCAATTATTTCTTATTTGTGTGTGTTTGGTGAAGAGAGCTTTATAGAGTTCTTGCAATTCTCAGAGTTTGATCCCAGTAAGAGTGAATGTCACGGCCTCTCTGTGTCCCTCTGGGAGGGACACTGGGTGTGGGCTCACAGCTTCGGGTGACCATGCATTAGCATGATCTGTCCTGGAAGGGGCCTTGACCTGTTGACCTGGACCTCAAGCCCCTCCTCCCTCTTCCCCATTCACCCCTTGTATTGAGTTGGTATCTCAATAACCCCAACACCTCCCATGATGTAGAGACTTGGTTTAATAAAATGCCTTCACATTCACCTGACCATTTTGATCACTGCAGAATGCAGAAAGCAAATGCAGAGGGTAAGGGAAGTGGCTGACCCAAGCTAACTCTGTTACCAATGCAGAAAACTCCCACTAAGGCAGAAACAGAAAATAGATAAGAAACAATTTGGATAATGACTTCCAAAGCTGGAAAGAGTTGTCAGGCACTCTATTACATACCCTGAAATAACGATGATGAAGTAGACAGCTCACCTCCACAAGGGGCAGTTAGACCCAGGCCATAGATGCTCTGTATGGACTATCAACCCTCTGTGGTCAGAGAAGGAAAGCCAGTGGCTTCTCTAGCCAGGGACAAAGTGGGATGAAAGTGTGAAGTGGGGTCAAAGTGGGGGTATAGGAAGCGATGTATTTGTAGGGAAATGAAAGTTCTGCCTTCTCCCTTCCACCATCTCATCTGTGGGTGATGATGATTTCAAGGCACTAAGACCATTCCCTTATGTATCCACTCAATAAACTGAGTTGAGTACTTGCCATTTTGTCTTAAAAGGCAGTGTGCTGGGTGCTGACCAAATCAATCATATTAGGGTTTCTTTGTTTTTAAAGCAGCTTCATTGAGGCATGGGGAAATATAAGCTGCCTGATAAGTTTTGACATATCTATGATGAACGTATATATCTGTCAAACTACCCCCACGATCAAGATAAGAACATACCCATCACTTAAAAACATTTCCTGGTGCTCTTTGGTAATTCCTCCCTCCTGAGTGTCCCTGCCCCACCCTCACCTCCATTCCCAGGCAAAAATCACTAGCCCACTCTCTGTCACTATAGAAAAGTTTGCATTTTCTGGAATTTTACATAAAAGGAATCATACAGTATGTGCTTTTTGTCTGGCTTTTCACTAGGCATTTTTATTCTCAGATTCACCTACATTGTTGCCTGTATCAGTAGTTTATCCCGTTTTTTTTTTTGTTTGGTTTTTTTTTTTTTTGTAGTATTCCCATGTATGGATATGCCACAATTTGCTTAGAACCTGCCGGCTGCTGGACATTGGCTCGTTTCCAGTTATTGATTATTACCAACAAGGCGGCTGTGAGCATTTGTGTATAAGTTACTGTATGCACATAAGCTTTTATTTCTCTTGAGGAAATATGGGGGATGTGACATTGGACTAACTTTTTAAGAAACTGACAAACTTTTTCAAAGTGAATTACCATTTTACGTTTCCACCCCTATTTCTGTGGGGGTTTCAGGGGCTCCGTATCCCACGCACACTGGCTGTGGTTAGTCTTTAAAATTTTAGTCATCCTAGCAGGTCTGCAGTGGTATTCCCTTGAGACATGAATTTGCATTTTTCTAATAACTAATGATGTTGAGCAAATTTTAATGTGCTTATTGCCATCCAAATATATTCTTTGGTGGACTGTCCATTTTAATTTTATTGTCTTTTGTTTTTTATTTGGGCTCTTTGTTTTTCCAATTATTGACTTTTTTTTCTCAGTTTTAAGAGTTCTTTAAATCTTCTGGACACAAGTCCTGTGTCAGATTGTGATTTGCAAACATTTATTCCAGTCTGTGACTTGGTTTTTCATTCTATTAAACAATGAAACTCTGCTCTTTCTCTTCTTAATTTTGAAGTACAGTTTATTATTATTCTTTTTAATGAATTCTGCTTTTCAAATTATATTTTCCTAACCCAAGGTCACAAAAATTTCCTCCAGAAGTTTTATAGATTTACATTTTAATTTAAAACTATCATCCACTTTGAATTCATTCCCACGTATTTCACATTTTTCCATCCTATTGTAAATGGAATTTTACAATTTTAATTTCAGATTGTTTAAATATTTGCTTTTTATATATTGATCTTTTATCCTACAACTTGCCTTAACTAAACTATTAGTTTCAATGTTTTTTGGTAGATTCAATAGAATTTTTTACATAGATGATCATGTTGTCTGTAAATATAGCAAATCTTCTTTCAAATCTGGGTGCTTTTTACTTCTTTTCTTGCCTTATTGACTGTCTAGTGACCTCCACTACAATGTTGACTAGAAATGGTGACAGTGGACCCTGATGCTAGGTGGAAACAACTCAGTCTTTCACCATTAAATATGATGTTAGCTGTAGGATTTTCATAGATGCTTTTCATCAAGATGAGGTCCCATTTCTAATTTTCTGAGTTTTTTTCATTAGAAATGGATATTGGAAACCAATTTAAAAAATAAAAAGAAAGAAATGGATATTGGATTTTGTCAAATGCTTTTTCTGCATCTGTTGAGACAATCATATTTTTTTCTTTTTCGCCCATTAATATGTGAATTACCTTGATTGATTTTCAAATGTTAAGTCAACCTTGTGTCCCTGGGAAGAACCTTACCTGGTTATGATGTATTATTTTGTTAATATTTTGAGAGTTTATGAGAGTATTTTCTTTCTTTTTTTAAAAAAAATTTTATTAATTTATTTGACAGAGAGAGAGAGCACAAGCAGGGGGAGTGGCAGGCAGAGGGAGAGGGAGAAGCAGGCTCCCCAGTGAGCAGGGAGCCCGATGCAGGACTCGAGCCCAGGACCTGAGCTGAAGGCAGACGCTTAACTGACTGAGCCACCCAGGCATCCCAAGAGTATTTTCTTGTCTTGTCTTGTCTTTATCTGGTTTGTGCCCTAGAAAGGCTGGCCTCATAGAATGAGTTGTTAAGTGCTTCCTCCTATTCAGTTTAATGGAAGAGTTTGTGAAGAATTTGTGTTATTTATTCTGTAAATGATTGACGAAGTTTATCAGTAATGCCATGTATACCTGGAATTTTCTTTGTGGGAAGGTATAAATTCAATTTCTTTCACAGATATAAGGTGATTTGGATTATCTGTTTCTTCATGAGTGAGCTTTGGTAGTTTGTGCCTTTGAAGACATTTGCTATTTCATCTAAGTGATTGAATATATTGGCATAAAGTTACTCATAATATTCCTTTAATATTTGCAGATCTGTGATGACACCTCTCTCATTCTCAATATTGATAATTTGTGTCTTTTCTCTTTTTGTCTACATCATTCTGGCTAGAGAGGCAACAATTGTATTGATCTCAAATAACCAGCTTTTGGTTTAATGTTATTTCTCTATTATTTTTCTGTTTTCTATTTTATCATTATCCAACCATGATTTCCTTTCTTCTGTTTACACTGCATTTCATTTTCTTTTCTTTATCTAGTTTCTTAAGATAGAAGCTGAGGTCATCAACTTGAAATTTTACATCTTTCTAATACAAATCTTCCTCAACTTACAATGGGATTATATCCTGATAAACCCAGCATATACTGAAAATATCATAAGTTAAAGATGCATGTAATGCACCTAACCTGTTGAACATCATAGCTGAGTCTGGCCCACCTTCGTCTCCTTGCGATGATCAGCTGAAGACCTGAGGGGTCTCTGCAGGTCTCTCTGCACAGCCCTCTCCTTCCCAGGCAGTTGGCGGCTCTGCATGGGCGGCTTCTCCATGCCCAGCAACCTCACCTCTCTGTCTAG